ACTATACACCTCCTTATGCACTGAAAGAGATACAACACCACTTCTCTGGCATTTCTGCCATACTAATAATAAGGGTAACAACAATATCAGTGACTTAAACAAGATGAAAGTCTATTTGTCTCTCACATAAAAACCCAGGGCTCCTGAGTGCTTCACATTGTTAGGTTCCCAGTTTCCCTCTGTCTTGTTTCTCCACCATGTGTGGCCTTGACCTCCTAGACCAAGATGCCAGCAGCCACATTGCAGATCACAGGACAGGGTAAAGGATGAAGAATAAATAGCAGAGTCCAGGTTTACCACATCTTAAGGAAGGCTTCCGAAGCTGATACGACACTTCTGCTCAAATCCCTTTGGTCAGAACTCACTCACTTGGCCACACAAAGCTACAAAGGGGACTAGGAAATGTAGTCTTTGTTTAAGGCAGCCTTGCCCAGCTAAATGCAGCCAAGCTAAAAAAAATCTATTACTATGAAGAAGTTAAGGGGCATACTGGGCACGGGAGAACAATTAACAATCTCTGGAACACTGGCGTTCTTTTGTTTCAAGATGACATGTTTCTACACCTCTGGTTCTTTTTATTAAGATCTCAATTCATGACACCCCACACACTTATTGCACATATAACATGCCCACATGTGCAGGATCTCAGAGCTCAAGTCTTGCAGTCCTTGATCTCCACACGAGCCTGGGCCCGTCTCACTTCTGTGCTTATACACAACTGTATGTCTTCATAGCTTTTCTCATAAGTAGAGGCAGTTGCCTACGAAAACTTCTCCATGACCTCTGTGCTGCCAAAGCTGAGATGACCAGAATGGCCAACTTTTGTTCCTTTCCTTTCTAGATAAGCAGTTAAAATGCCTCTGGTAAACAACCATGTTCCCTGAACTTGGGTTTTTTCTGAGTTCTAGGAAAAAGAATAAATGCAGGGTTTTTGAGATTAAATGGAGTCGCAAGATAAGCAGCATTTCTCAACAAGGAGCCAAGAATGCATTAGGATAAGATAGGCTGAACTTACGGGCAGAGGGCAAAAGCGCTGTGGGGGTTTCATCCTCCTCTTCCTCACCTCCCCCACAGCCCCTTCAAACTCCAGCTCCACCCCCATAAGGATGAGGGAGTTAGAAATAGGTCAGGAAGAGACCGGGAAATGTATATCCTTTTGAGCCTATGAAATGCTTCTGCTGGCATCTCTCCAAGTCTGGCATGGCCTTGATACTTGATTCCTATGATGTGGTGGAGGGGGATAGGTAGGAAGTGGGGGGTACCACACAGATAATAAATCTCCTGTGTCTTCTGTTTTCATATTCATGTTACTTTGGGACCACAGGGGCCATGACTTAGAAATGGAGTTGGGTTTTTGCGTAATTAGCCACAACACACAGGTTTTCCTTCTGCTGGGAATGACTAGCCCTTCTTCTCTCCATCAGCCGTCAGCCAACTATTCACTCTTAAGTCTCAGCTCACAGATCACCTCCATGAAGGCTTCCTGGACTTCTCCCAAGCCCAGTTAGATGTTCTTCTGGCACCCCTGTGAGATGACAGTGTGCGGTCCAGGTTAAGCTCAGGCTCTGGAATGTCAGTGCTTGGGCTCATAAGCCCAGCTCTCTACTTAATAGCTACTTTGAGAAAGTCCGTGCCTCAGTTTCCTCATGTGTAAAATGGAATTTCAAAATAATACTGTCCACATGAGCTATTGGGAGAATTCAGTGAGTTTTACATGTTTTACATGTGGCTGGCCTCATAACAGCATTATTCACAATAGCCCAAACACGAACACAACCAAGTGTCCATCAGTGGATGAATGGATAAACAAAATGTGGCATATCCATACGATAGTATATTACTCAAAACCTTGAAAAAGAAGGAAATCCTGACACAGTGCAACATGAATAAACCTGAAGACATTACGCTAAGTGAAATAAGCCAGTCACAAATGGACAAATACTGTATGATTCCACTTATATGAGGTACTTAGGGTAGTCACATTCATAAAGACAATGTAGAATGGCAGTTGCTGGGGGTGAGGGGAAGGGAGACCAGGAGTTACTGTCTAACAGGTACAGCATTTCAGTGCTGCATGATGAAACAGTTCTGTGGATGGATGGTCATGACTTGCAAGCCCGCCTCCCTGCCCCAAACAGAGGGTTCCTTCCTTTAGTCACAACGGAGTTTTCTTCTCTAAAGACTCCTTCCCCCACAGTCTTGACAGCGTATCACAGGTTCTGCCCACACGCTCTCTAGGGTAACGCATGAGAAGGGAAGTGAAGGAATGCTGGCAGAGATGTTATCACAGAAACTAGTCTATGCTAAAGAAGAGCCAAAGGGAAGCAGAGCCCTCTGCCCTTCCAAGCCGGGTGGGGAGACTTAGTGGAATGAGGGTACACTGGGTGAACAAGGAGTCAGAACACCTGAGTTCTCACTCTAGCTCTGTCACCAGCTTGCTGTGTGTCTCTGGACAAGTCACTTTCCCTCTTGGGACCTCTTTGTCCCTGACTATAAAAAAATAGAGATTTGGCTGGGCATGGTGGCTCACGCCTGTAATCCCAGCACGTTGGAAGGCCGAGGAGGACGGATCACTTGAGGTCAGAGGTTCAAGACCAGCCTGACCAACATGTACTAAAAATAAAAAAATTAGCCAAGTGTGTTGGTGCATGCCTGTAGTCCCAGTGACTTGGGAGGCTACAGCAAGAGAATCGCTTGAACATGGGAGGCCAAAGTTTCAGTGAGCTGAGATTGCACCACTGCACTCCAGCCTGGGCAACAGAGTGCGACTCTGTCTCAAAATAAACAAACAAACAAAAAACCTGGAGATTAGACTGGGTAATTTTGAAAGACCGTCTCAGTCCTGACCCTCTCGGGGAATAACATCAATGGGTCAATTTGCGCAAAACCTTTTACTTTTTAAAGCACAAAAATTTGCTGAGCATGGTGGTACATGCCTGTAATCCCAGCTACTCAGGAGGCTGAGGCAGGAGAATCGCTTGAACCCAGGAGGTGGAGCTTGCAGTGAGCTGAGATCGCAGCATTGCACGCCAGCTTGGGCAACAAGAGTGAAACTACACCTTAAAAAAACATTTTCACCATCCTGGCTAACACGGTGAAACCCCGTCTCTACTAAAACTACAAAAAATTAGCCGGGCATGGTGGCGGGCACCTGTAGTCCCAGCTACTCGGGAGGCTGAGGCAGGAGAATGGCCTGAACCTGGGAGGTGGAGCTTGCAGTGAGCCGAGATCTTGCCACTGCACTCCAGCCTGGGCGACAGAGCAAGACTCTGTCTCAAAAAAAAAAAAAAAGAAAAAGAAAAAGAAAAAGAAAAAGCACTTTCACATCAATGACTTCCTGCTGTTCTTAGGATGTTCCTGTAGATTATTAGATTAAATCTCATGGATAGGAATATGAGGCCCAGAGAAGTGAAACAATTAGTGACAGGGCTAAGAGTAGATCCCAGGTCTCCTGGCTCTTACCAAGGTTGCTGTGCCCACGGTGTACCCACACAAAGGCACAGATTGGGGTTGAGGGAAAAAGGGAGGCTGACAGGTGCTCAGAAGTGTGACCCAATCAGCCTTAAGGAAGGGACACCTTTCTTTAATTGGTCTGCCCAGAAGAGGCACCTTGTTCTCACAGCCCTTCCACAGGGAGAGGGAACAGCTTTTCTCAGTTAATCAGCCCTGAACACTTCTTTCTGCAACGTGTCCATCTGCAGGAGCACCTCTTCCTAATTTGCACAAAAGCACCTTATGTACGAGGCATACCCTTGATCCCTGGGCTGTTCCTCTTCTCACTTGGTGTCAGGTCCTGGGGTCCAGGTCCAGCCCATGCTGAAGTCTGAGGGGAGTGGGTACATGGACAGAAAGAACACTCGGGGCCCATAGGCAGGTGAATATGGTTTTATTCAGCAACAGCTCTCATCAACAGCTTACTCACACTAGCTCTCTCACACTGTCCGCCCTGTCTCGACTGCTTGAGCCCAGGGCTCCCACACACAGCTGTGCAGCCTGCTCTCCCTTGCCTTCAGGGTCAGCAGCTTAACTCTTTCTCCCTCTGGGCATGAGCTAGCCGAACTGTCCTAGCTCCTTCCTGTCCATCTGCAAGATGGACAGCTTTGGCTCTCTCTCTTTCTCTGGGCGCCAGCGCGCCCACCATGTCAAGTCATGTTGAGCTAAGCCGAACCCCAAGAGCCCCTGTACAGCATTAGCAGGACAATTACCTTTTACAGACAACAGTGGCTCAGACCAAGTATGAACTTACACAAACAGGTTATATAACAAGTGGAGGTGTGTGCCTGTGCACCAAACCCACTAAGTCATGCAGACATGGATATCTGCCTTGGCATATTCCTTGACCAAAGCACATCCATGTACCTTACACTTGGGTCTGAAGTAGAGTTGCCAAATGAAATACAGGACACCCAGCTAAATTTGAATTTCAGGTGAACAACAAATCATTGTTTAGGATAAGCATGTTCCATGCAATTCTGGGGACATACTTAACCTTAAAAATTTATTTCATTTATCTAAAATTCAGTGAACTGGGGCAGTCTGTATTTGTCGAATCTGCTGACCTTAGTCTAGAGGCAGTGGTATGTTCCAGCTGACTCCAATCAGCTCATGAGAGTCAACTGTAAAATGTTTAGGAGATTTATGAACCGGGTATTAAACCACTGGTGGCTTGAAATCCACCATGGTGGGAGTATTTACACCACAGAAACTGGTAACTGCTACACATCAGTGCTTTTCCTTTACAGAGCTGGTTATGAAACATTCCCCAATATACCACTGTCCAGAGGTTTCCTTGTTCTTAACATATTAGGTAGACTCTGAAACCATGTCCCTGGGTGCTCCACAGTCACACAGGAGTCAGATCGCATCTAAGATAGCTGTAAGGCTTAGTAGACTAGAAAATGGAAAATTCCACTCCTAGGATCCTAGAATGAGGAATGTTGGAAACTTAGAATTCTAAAACAAGGATGTTAGAATCTCAGAGTTTCAGAAGATGAAATGTTAGTATTGAAATCAGAGGCTGTTAGACAGTATCCATTCCTCACCCCTCTCTAGCATACAGATGGCCAAGGCCTCACAGCCTGACCAGACCTCTGGCTGGCCCTCCTGGCTCAGGGCCTAGGCTTCTTGCGAGCCACAATGAAGCAGACCCCAGAGCTGGCAGCATTGGTGACAGAGTAGCTCTGGGGATTCTGTAGGAGCTGTTCAATGTCAAAGCCAGCATCCAGGACAGCCTGCTCCACCTCCTCCTTCTCCAGGGCCACACAGGAAAATTCACGCTTCCCCACCATGTAGGATGAGATCTGAAGCGTGACTGTGGTCACCAGGTGGCCACACGGCTTGAGCAGTGAGGCAAGGTTGCACAGTGCAGTGCGGTAGGCATCAAGGCTACAGCAGGCACACTCCATGGCCAGCAGGGTAAGCACACAGTCGGCGGGGGGCAACACAGCAGGGGCCAGCGGGTTGCCCAGGTGGACATCACACTTGAGCACCCGCTTCACTGCTGCCCGCAGCTTCTCCTCCTTCTCCTCCCAACGGCCGCTGCAGAGAGAGAGAGGGAGTCAGGGAGGCACTTCAAGGTTCTGAAGGGAACTCTCAGTCCACTGTGACCAGCAGATGGAGATGATCTCTGGATCCCCAAAGGATTGCTATCCCTGAGTCCCTGTGTGACCTGACAGCAGGCCCATATTCAATCTGAGCCTCAGTTTCCCCCAAAGAAAAATGATTAGGGAGAATGGGCCAGAAAAATTATAGGAACATTTCTCCCTCTGATTCCATGTGAGCCCCCTTCCCTTAATCCCCAGGAGGGACAAGGCCACCCCAAGCACAGATGGGGCAGCTAACACACATTATTGGATGGATGGATGGATGAATTAATGAATTTACTACAGATAATGTATGAATACAGCTATCTTAAAAAATTAATTTTGAGTGATGAAAAGCAAATCCCAAATGACACAGAGCAAATTACTCTGCTCTAAAGCTCAAAGGTTACTAAAACTAAATTATAGATTATTTAGATATACATAAGTATGCAAGAAAAAATGTTTTGAAAAAGGGAATGATAAGCATAAAATTCATATTAGTTACTACCTCGGGTTAGGAAAGGCAGGGGCAAGGAGTCACAGAGAAGCACAGAAGTCTTTATTATATCCGAGTACTCAGGTTGGGTGGTGGGTTCATGTCACTATGCATTATATAGTCACACAGGTACAGACAATAGAGGGAAGAAGGAAAGATGGATGGATGGGTGGGTAGCTGGATGAACATGGAGGGACATGGATAGATGGATGGATGGGTGGATGGATGGACGGATGGATGGATGGATGGATGGATATGAATGGATGGATGGATAGATGGATGGATTGATGGCTATGGATGGATGAATGGATGGGTGGGTGGATGGATGAATATTGATGGATGGATGAATGGACAGATGGATAGATGGATGGATGGGTGAATGGCTGGCTGGCTGGATGAATGGATGGGTGAATGGCTGGCTGGATGGATGAATGGATGGGTGAATGGATGGATGGGTGGATGGATGGATGGATATGGATGGGTGGGTGGATGTATGAATATGGATGGGCGGATGGATGGATGGATATGGATGGGTGGGTGGATGCATGAATATGGATGGATGGATGGATGGATGGATGGATGGATGGATGGATGGACCGGTGGGTGGATGGATGGATGGATAGTTAGATACATAGAAGATAGATAGGTAGATATATAGATGAGGGTAAGGAAGGAAGAGAAGAAGGAAGGAAAGGTTCTATCATCTGGTTTTCAGTGTTCATACTTGATTATATCACACCTCAACATAGTCCTGTGATCAGATACTTGCACCTAAAACTGCTGTAATCCTGAAACTTGGGGCCCCATCTACTCTGTCCCCACCATAGGACATCTGGTCCTGTACCTATAGGTCCTACTGTCCTGAAAATGCCAGAGACAAACAAGAGGCCAGGGAGACTTCTGAGAAAGAAGGTTGACTGGGAACCCCCTCCACAACCTCTGCACCGCTACCTGTTTCCTTCCAGCTCACAGGCGAATTTCACCACCGGGGTCCAGTCATAGGCCCCCGGCTCCTTCTTCAGCCACTTTTCCAGCTCCTCCCGGTTGCGGTCAGTAAAGTCGGAGAGAGTGATGTCTCGGAAGGACTCACAGGCAGCGAGAACTTGGTAGATGGTAGGGCCTGAGCCAATGTCGATCAGTGTGTCCCCTTGAAGGCCTCCTGTGGGAGGGAAAGACTGGTAATGGACGGGTAAGAGAAACGAGACCCAAGGCAGACACAGGGATGAGGACACACATCCTGGTCTTACCCAAGGGGCAAACAGCACCAAGCATGGTGGTTATCACGGATTGGCGGTTCCCTGTAAGCCAAGCCTCATACCAAATATTTTATATGCATTAATTTCCACTTACACCTCAGAACTACCCTGTGTACTGACTACTATCACTATTTTCATTTTACAGATTAGAAAACTGAGTCTGAAAAAGGTTAAACAATTAGCCCAATATCTTTCCATCAAGAACATAAGCCAAAAGTATAATATTTCTGGGACAGAGAACAGAGGCCCAAGCCCTGCTCTGGGGAAGATTCGGGCTGGAGGGTTCAGAGGGGACATGCTGGGGGCAGTGGCTCTTTAAGTTTCAGGCTGACTGGAAGCTGGGAGCCTCCCCTGGAAGTCCGGCCCTTCCTGGATGGGTTTCTTGTTCCTTGGAGTGGGGAGGGGTGTAAGCATGCAGGAATAGGAAGCCGGGGCTGAGGAGATGATCTGGGAAGATGGCCCCAGGAGTGAATCCAGGGTCACCTGGAAGCTGGAATGAAGCATGACTTCCAACATTCTGTCTGGAGCCCTGGCGTGGGGCCATCACTTGGCCTTCCAAGCTTGGTCACACCCAGTCCAGCTATTCTCTGATTTCTGCCTCCCGCACCAGCCTGCTCCTCCAGGCTCAGCAGTCTTTTAACCCCCTCTTAACCCCCAGACCACCAGGAGACTCACCCTTATTGTTCCGCAGTCAAGTGCCCAAAGTGAGGACATGGCTGCTTGAGTTTAGAAGACGTGACCAAATCATGGGGTCACCGTGGGGAGGGCAATGATCATTGGGAGACAGGCAGAAGTCGCCATCAATTGCACAGATGGCTCAGTTGAGGTCCTTGGGGCCTGAGCGCCTTGCTGTCAGGTTTGCAACAGGGTTGAGACCCCACCTAGCAATCCTTGTCCCAGGGCAGGGCTTTTCCAGGTCCTCATCACAGACACATCTGGGCTGCACACTCTGGGCATAGGCGATCCCGACCCACTACAACTCTGCTGTTTGCCCTTGGCGTTCTGGGGGCCCCAGAGGCCTGGCTGTGCAAGGTCAGGACTGAACTTGATGATGACCTGGAGAGCCTTTTCTGCTCCACCCCAAAGACCTAGGGGCTAATGGAGAGCAGTGTGGGAACTGCACGGGGCTGTGCTCTTCCCATAGGTCCTGATCCCTCAGCTGGCACACAGCTCCTGAGCCGTGGGGAGACAGACCCAACTTCCAGTATAATAGCTGCCCAAAGAGAGGGGCAGGGCCCCAGCAGCTCCCTCAGCCCACCCCCAAAAACCCCTAGAGGAGACCAGACTGCCCCCAGGACACCTTATCCCCATCCCTATCCAGATTCCTTGGAGAGGCTCGAGGGGAAGGGTCACCCTCTGCTCACCAGGGCCGAAGGTCTTGTGGAGACATTCCAAGTTAAACTTCAGTATCTCAGCCTCGGGTGAGGGGCTGCCATCGAAGCTGTAGTAAGTGGCCAAGTAGTCCCTGGGCAGGAAGTGCTTCTGGTACTCATCACCCCCAGTGAAGCCACCCTCCATGGTGTCCCTGAAATGTGCCCTCTCCTGGCTGTCAGGTCTTATGAGGGCTCCAAGCTCTCCAGGCTCCACCCCCAGCATTCCAGCTTCATCCCATGGCTCCTCCCAAGTATGCCTCTCCTTGAGCTTCTCCTATGGGCATGCAGAAGGGAGTGCATTCTTCACCGCCTCCTAGTCACACTGACACACACGAGGTTTCCCCAACCCCAGCGCTATGACCGCTGGGGCTGCAGCTGCCCTGGCTCTGCTTCCTCTAGGGACCAATCCATGTCCGTCAAAGGCAATTGATAGTGCCCAGCCCTGGGTGCAACTCTCAGCCCTGCCAACCACATGCTGCTGTGTGGCCTCCAGCAGGTGTCAGACCCATGTTTCCCCACCTGTGTGCCCACTTCACTGACTGTGAGGACCAAAATCCCTCCCCTAAGTCACAGGTGTTGTGGCCTGAGTGCACAGTGAGATCCCCATCTTGTCACCTGGTGGTCAGTGGGGTCCAGTGGCTCTCTCTAGGCCAGGCAGTGGGTGCAGCTTCATGCATCCCCCATCCCTGCTGGAGAACACAGTTCAGACCCCAGGAGGCAGAGCAGAATGTCTGACTTGGCATCACTGTGCAGGTCACTGGGAGAAGAGCAGAAATTGTCGTCAGTCTCCATGAATGAGAACAAGGGCACCTGGTCATAAAGCATAAACTGTCAAAGGGGTCCTGGTTTCCTGGCTGCTGACTCACCAGGCAACTCCGGGTAAGACACTCCTGGCCTCAGTCTTCTCTTTGAAATAGGACTGGGTTGTAAAATCTCCCACAGACAGAGAAAAGTCCAGTCTCTGTTTTTGGCATTAGGAAATGGCTCTGACTTGGCCACAAACCAGAGAGAAATGAATCTGCTACACTGGAGGTTCACACCTCTTACCCTGAAAGTGGGAAGGATAGGAATACCTTGTTCTGGCTTCAAGTCAACAAACAATTCTGAATTCACAGGGCCCAATAGACGGGTGATGCCACAGAGGCAGGAACACCCAGCAGTCATCAGGACCTAGCTTCCAAGAGGCGGGTGCCTGGGCAGCCTCCAGGGAGGCTTGCAGCCGTCGTGCTGGCCTGCAGAAGGCATACAGAGCTGTCGGGAAACTGCAGGGCTCGCGTTACATAATTAGAGGAGTGTACAATAAAGGCACGGTACTAAGTTGTGGGCAGGGTGGAAGGAAGACATATGGTACCTCTATTAGTCAGGGTTCTCCACAGAAACAGAACCCAGGATGTGTACACTGAGAGAACCAGATCTATTGTAAGGAATTGGCTCGTGTAATTGTGTAGGCCAGTAAGTCCAAACTCTGAAGGGTGGAACCAGGAAAAGCCAATGTTGCAGTTCAAGTCCAAAGACCAGCTGCTGCCAGAATTCCCTCTTGCTCGGGGAAGGCCAGTCTTTTGTTCTACTTGGGCCATCAGCTGGTTGGATGAAGCCCACCCACATTATGGAGGACAATCTGCTTTACTCAAAGTCCACAGATTTAAATGTGAATCTCATCCCAAAACACCCTCACACAAACAGCCAGGATCATGACTGACTACCTATTTGGGCACCATGGCCTAGCCAAGTTGACTCATAGAAAGCAACATCACAGAACCTGAGGGCTAGCAGCATGGAGGAGCCATCATCCCAGTGAGACTGAGACAGAGCTGTGCAGAGAGGGCCTCCTGCAGCAGCCAACAGCAAAGGAGCTGATATGGTTTGGCTGTGTCCCCACCCAGATCTCGTCTTGAATTGTAGCTCCCATAATTCCCGCGTGTTGTAGGAGGGACCCAGTGGGAGGTAATTGAACCATGGGGACAGGTCTTTCCCATGCTGTTCTCATGATAGTGAATAAGTCTCATGAAATCTGATGGTTTTATAAGGGAGACTTTCCCCACAAAAGCTCTCTTTTTGCCTGCTGACATCCATGTAAGACATGACTTGCTCCTCCTTGCCTTCAGCCATGATTGTGAGGCCTCCCCAGCCATGTGGAACAGTGAGTCCATTAAATCTCTTTCCTGCATAAATTACCCAGTCTTGGGTATGTCTTTATTAGCAGTATGAAAACGGACTAATAGAGTAGCTAAAGAATAAATACCCAGACCTCCTTCTCCTACCTCCCTCCAATATCCTGCCAAATTTAGAGGGAAGGGAGTGGTGACTGCAGTCCACATGTCAGCTTCCTGGCACTTGAAGTAGCCTGGGGAGGAGAGGATGGAGAGCAGAATGGAGAGGCACATGGAAGATGCCCAGCATTAACACTTAAGGAGTTGAACTGTGGACGTGCATGTACTATTCAGGGATTACACAGAGCCCCTGCAGCAGGACGTGGGCATCTAGGGAGTCTGTATAGGGCGGGAAGAGACCATCCTTCCCAGAACTACACATCCTGCTGCAATTGGATGTCCTTGGATGGATAGAGGATGCCCCTCCTAATGCAAGGCCTCCAGTGCCTCCTGCTGCCAGAGGAATGAGTCCAAACTCCCCCTTGGCAATCAGAGTCTCTACCCTCAGGCTTCCACCTGCTTCTCCACCACTCAGGCCTTCTCCATCCCTACATGCCTCATGACTCTGGCCTAGCCAAGAGTCCTAACAGCACTCGGGCAATCTTCTCAAAGTGAAGCCTCTTACAGATATATTCTAAGAACGAGTTTCTTAACCTCAGTGCTATTGACTCTTCAGACCAGATAATTCCTTGTTGGGGTGGGGGTGTGAAACTGTGTCATAGGATTTTTAGCAGCATCCCTGGCCTCTACCGCCTAGAAGCCAGTACACTCCGAAGTTACAACAACCAAAAATGTCCCCAGACATTGTCACATGTCCCCTGGGAGGCAAAACTGTCCCCAGTTGACAACCACTATCCTAAGGTTTGCTTTCATCAATGTGACAACACTTTGTTCATGAGAGGGCTAAGCTTTAGGCCCTTTTAAGAATGTGTGCCTTATCTTAGACACCTTTCTATACAGTGGGGTTTTTTTAACAGAGCAAGGAAATTTCCATTCAAGAGGACTTCTGTTGCAATAGTAAGCAAAGGAGCAAATTTCTAGCTGCCTATCAGGAAAATAAGACCACTTGAAAAGTCAGACAGATAAGAAAAGAATCAAGCTCCTTTTCAAGATTAGGGAAACTACCCTCTCAGCATTCCACACTCCCTGATACCTCGCTACTTCTCTTCCTGCCTGGCTCTGTGGAGTGAAGAAATGAGTCCAAAGAGGAAACTTGCCAGTGTAAATGAGACTGTGTTTTCTCTGGTGAGTTGCAAGCAGCTACTCAGACCCTCGTCTCACACCAAACACCAAAATAAAGGCTAAACGTCTTTCTAAAAATCAACCACAGAAGCTATGATAGTCAAATTGTTATCAAACTTCTGGGTAAGAGAGGATTTTCTAAACCTAGATCAAAGAAGGCCCAAAGAGAAAAAAAACCACATTTATTATTTTACATTGTATTACATTATCTCATATTTTGTTCGAGAAAAATTAAATATTTTTCCTAAAAAATTAAAAGGAAAAAACACTGTTTTCCTTTTGGAAAAATAATTTGGTGATTATTTGCTTAATTTATTTATACTAAAAGTTTTTGGAACTCTGACCCAGGAATCCCAAGTATAGGAATCCAAAATACAGAAAAATACAGAATACAGAAATACAGAAAAAGAATCCAAATACAGAAAAAGCAAATGCACAGGGTTATTAATTACAACATTGTTTACAGCAAGCAAAACCTGCAAGTCTCTTACCTGCCAAGCACTGGAGAGCAATTAAGTCAACCTTACTTGAACAGCCCCCAAAACTGACATTCCGGAGCCTTCCTGGTGACATGGAGAAGGGAGGTTGGCCCAGGGCTGGGAGAACAAAGCGATCCAGATAGGTACACACAGTGAGGAGATCACAGCCCTGCAAAGACTTTTCAGATGCAAGTGTGCAGAGGCAGAGGCCAATTCTGGCATGAGAGATGCTGGGACAAATATAAGACCCTCAATGTCACTAATCATTTTAACCCACCTAGAATTCATGTTAATTGGATTGCAATATGATTTTTTTTTTTTTTTGAGACAGGGTCTTGCTCGGTTTCCCAAGCTGGGGTGCAGTGGTGGGATCATAGCTCGCTGCAGCCTTGAACTCGTGGGTACAAACAATCCTCCCACCTCAGCCTCCTGAGTAGCTGGGATTGTAGGCACGCACCATCCCGCTTGGCTAATTTTTTTTTATTTTTTGCAGAGGCAGGATCTCACTATGTGGCCCAGACTTGAAATTCATTTTTTAATAAACTGGGTAGACATCTAATTTTATTTTCTTCCAGCCAGATAGGCAGTTATGCCATCACTATTAATTATGTAATTGACACTTTTCTCATTGAACTGAAATCCCACGGAGTATGAGCTCTGTTAATTTCAGAAAAGAGGAAGATTTACATTTAACACAGCAAAATGACAAGAATTATGACAAAAAATGGATTAAAATCTACACTCTGTTGAAATGTTTTCTTGTGAACTCAAAACCTAAGGAAATAAAAAATAAGGACAGTCGTGGTGGCTCACCCCTATAATCCTAGCAATTTGGGAGCTCAAGGTGGGAGGATCACTTGAGCCCAGGAGTCCAAGACCAGCCGGGGCAACAAAGGGAGACCCCACTTTTACAAAAAACAGAAAAAAACATTAGCCAGGTGTGGTGGTATATGCTTGTAGTCCCAGCTTCTCGGGAGGCTGAGGTAGGAGGATCACTTGAACCTAGGAGGTCAAGGCTGCAGTGAGCTGTTGTCTTGCCATTGTACTCCATCCTGAGTGACAGAGTGAGATCCTGCCTCAAAAAAAAAAAAAGAAAAAGAAAAAGAAAAAGAAAAAAAAGAAAAGAAAATGTTGATCATCTTTGATTCTGGATGGTGGCATGGGGCCTTAGTGCTCAAAGTGTGGTGGCCTCAGTAGTGTCTGGGAGCTTACAAGACATGCGGAACCTCAGAACTAGAGCCTGCATTATAACCCAGTCCCCAGGTGACTCCTAG